CACCAAAATTTTGGTTGATAAATTGAAGGTTTCTGTCGCTTTACGACTCGACATTAATTTTAGTTGAACTAGTTTTACGGTACACGGGTGCTGTTGATACATCACAAGACGCTTACCCGTCCGGAACACCTGGTCATATTATATTATCCGTGGGTCTTTCATCGATGTACATGAATATCTTTCTTATGCTCATTTTTTGTCCTAATTTTACGAACTTTGATTTAAGGATGTATTCTTCTGAAGTTTCAGTCACGTTCAAATCTCAAATTATGATCTACTTAAAAAGCCATTATGCTTCTGAACAACGTATCAAAACACTAGATGCCCATTGTTTGCAGACATTTTAAAAAGTTTTTATGAAAAAATGATCGATTAGGCGGCCATTTTGAATATCTCAAAAATGAGTTTTTCTTGCATTGTAAGCAATGCTAACATTCCACCTTTTTTGACGTTATAACAACTATCATTAAAAATGTCATTGTATCGCCATTTTTAACCGTAGCAAGTTCATTTTTGCTGTGCAAGTTTTAAATGTTCATTATGATGCAAATATAATACAACATAGTGAAAAATTAAACAATATTGGTATTTTAATGCTGATTATGTCAACTACACTTTACATTTGGCGTTTTATCCCAAAAAAGCACACGGAACCCCCAATTGTTTTACTGTTTTATGAAGATAAACACATTTTCTTTCGATGCATTGAATATTGGTTAAAGTTGAAAACCAGAACTTTTCACATCAATCGTTTAATCTGCAAATAAAGGTGAAAAAGAAGTGGTTTTTTCACTTAAAAAATTGGGGTAGGGGTAACATAAATTGCATTCCTGAGATACAAATATAGATTTAAGAAATCTGGACTGCATAATTAAGAAGAAAATACATTTTTTGAGCAATTGTGCAAATATTCGTGGATTTCTGAGAGCACACTTGAAAGGTATTGTACAAATTTAGTCTCCATACGGTCAAAACGATAAATTTCATCAAAAATCACACATTTTGTTGAACGGGTATGTTTGACCGATCATAACAAAAAACGAACACACGGACAATGCAATTTTATTTTCATTTTTTATTTTCTCATATTCTTCTTTTTCAAAATTCGATGTAAAAAAAACGTTTAATGCAAGAAATGTTTGACTCTTCAGAGTTGTAAATCCTTAACATTATAAAATTACAATTTTGATGATATTTTAGTACATCATGTATTATTTTTGTACATTTGTATCTTTGCTTTGGTCATGCAGTTACACGTAACACCTTTTCCTACGCTTGTGCTTTATTTGTTGACATCTTTTAATGCTTGTTAAACTGACTGAAAAAGGAAAATAGTCTTGTTTTGTACATCATGGCTAATTAAGTACAGAATTAATACAATGCATGTACATGGTACTACATGTAAATTACGATATCCTACTTATGATTGAAAAGAAACAAGGAAGGGGCAGATTACCCATAACTTTCTACATTACAAATCCTATAATGGCCGCGTGAACACCTGTATAACTGCCCGAGAACTCATACCATGTTGTATGATAAGGTGATGGTGCCCATACGAGACGGATTGATGTCGTGTTTGAGTGTTTGACGTAAAGTGGGAGATTTCGTCTATTTAATAAATTGAGGATTTTGTCTGATTACAATGACTGGTTCAACGATTTTGTCTCTAGAAAAAGAGAGATTTCTTTGATTCCATAAACTTTCCATTTAATCTGTTTGATTATAGAACGAACTCGACACCGCAGCTAAAATGTACCTTAATTTAGTAGCTTTAAGCCAATTTAAGAAATATTAAATCCTTCTAACCGAAAAAATCTTCAAGTCATACATTGACGCTTACAATTGTGACATTTTGGCTTCACATGGTGCAGATATAGCAGATATCGATAATACACATGGTGCAGATATAGCAGATATCGATAATGCACATGGTGCAGATATAGCAGATATCGATAATACACATGGTGCATATATAGCAGATATCGATAATACACATTATGCAGATATAGCAGATATCGATAATTCACATGGTGCAGATATAGCAGATATCGATAATACGCATGGTGCAGATATAGCAGATATCGATAATACATGTTCACAGACATTTGTCCTTAATACAAGTGAAGCACTTACACGCTAATTGGAAGTGAGCATTACACGAGCCAGTCAAATAAAGAAAGACAAAAATTATATGAAGATCTTCCAGTCCTCTATCCATTCCTCATCCTCCCATTCTCCCCTATTCACTATACCACGTATGTACATATTAAATAGGTCGTTTATAGGTTCCTACCCTTTGCCCAATTCCTTTGCTTTCAGTTCTGATAAACGTGAAACTTGTTTCATCTGAACTTTGTTTTTGCATCTTGTTCCATTGACGTTACTCTTGACAACACCTTAACATGATTTATATTGTTTCATTTTATATTATTCCGGAAGACTCTGACAAAACAGATTCATCATTTGTGATCATTTATTCTAACTACGCTTTATCTGAACATGAAATCTGTGGCTTTGAATGCGCTTTATTTGGTTAGAGTTTGATATTTATCACAGTGTTGAAGATTGTTTTTTTAATCAAGACTTACAGACTTGACCAATTAGGACATTTATAGAAGGCATGAAAATAGATGGCTTACTTCTTGTCAGTGGTGTATTCCTACATTTTTTTTTTACATAAATGGGGTCCAGCAACACACTGTATATAGCGATTAACCTAATTGTATTTTTATAGACATTATTGTCCGGGGAAATAACTTTGCAATTGTGTGTAATGTTTTCAAAAAACTGAAAAAAGTATTGACACAGACTCACTTTCTTCGAGTTCATATAGACTAGTTTGGAACACTCTGAAGATTATTTTACATATTAAGTGTGTTAAACTGTTAATACCACTACAACTTTAAACACTTATAATCAGTTATTGTGCTTGTTGAATGGTTATGACAATTTTATACTGCAAAGAAAGAGGTTTGTTCTTTTCAGTGCTACATTCTGTAATTTAAAGGTAATTTGATCAAATGCAGATATTTTTTTTTCAAGTAACTAGATATTTAATAACAACTTCATCACTTGTCAAGATTCATGATATGATTCAGACGTTTAAGCTGAAACATTCAATAGGCCAAGATTTAAATGATAAAGGTTGACGTACACTATAACTGTCCCTGGAAAAGTCATGCAGCAGCAACCATTAAAAGCTAAACCAATAAATTTCTTTATCAGGTTTATTAATTATAAAATATTTCAATGTTGCAACGTTATCTCTTCAATGAGCAGGCAAACGCTAGTTAACTTTCTAGTTAACGGAAGTCTTGTAATGAATACTTTTAACATATTCTTTGTACTCAGATAACCATGTACGAAGTCTAGCACGTTAAATAACAAAAACGAACAAGGACCATTAGGAACTTTCAAAATTTAATTTTTAAATATAAAAGAATTTGCCCCATTGAAAATGTAAGAAATATATATATATATGCAGAGAAAAAGGACCATTTCTCTTTCGCTGTCCTCATCATTGCAAATTGCTTACTAAGCATTACATAGCATAGCAATACCTATTTACATGTAACACGAATCACTGTGGAAACCTGAAGTTTTCGCAAGAACATTGGCAAGATTTTTAAAGTTGGAAAAACTAATTGTCATTGATGTATGTACATGGATCGAATATGTTCCTATATTTGCAAACGTTTGTACAAACATGAAACACGCGTTTCTCTCTTTGAAAAAGTATTGATGCACTGTAACCTAATGTCATATATAGGTCAATTCTAAAAATCGATGGTATTTGCATAATTATTATCATACAAAACGTATTTCATGGAATTCAAAAGAATCACCTACCAAATACATGTACACGAACATGTTCATATTTCTGTACAATGAGGTTAAAGTTTAATTCAAAAGTGTTACTTTATTATGCGTAAAGCGGTTAAAGGTTAATAAAACTGGAGTCTGACCTCTTAGCTGAAAATAGTGTCACTCGCACAGTAGGACAGTAACCTTTTTGCGTACATTTGACCACTCATACTGAACCCAGTTAATGTGAACCCGTCTGTGTCGCTGACCACTTTACAATTTGATTAGAGATTTGTATATAGTCTAACACCTGTATAACGGACAGAGGTTCAGTACCGCTCAACGTCTTCTACACATTAACTACGCACACAATGACTTCAGGATTCGGACACAACCATCAACATCCTCTAGTAAGGAATCTATGGACACTAAAGGATCTAGCCATAAAACATGGCGTACCTGATGAAGTCAACCAACAGATTGAGCATTGTCTCGATATTTTCCATGTGAGTATTAATCTCAGTTGTGTAGAATTTATGAAGATGAATTCAAGATGGGTCCATAGTACCTGTCTCTATTATCGTATAATATATATATATATATATTTATTTACATTACATTGTTACTTGATATATATTTCACGCTGATGAAAATATTCAGATTAATACTTGATCTTCTGGAGGTTTCTTTTATATCGATAAGCAGATTACACCGGTTCTGGCTGATTTTCTGAATTAGTCTAATTTCAAAGTTGCTCATGCTATTTGTACTTCGTATAACCTAAATGTAATAAATACATGTATTCTTGTGAACTTTTGAATGACATTTTTTTTATACAATTCAAGCGTGTCATATCAACTTTTGTTCGTATACGAAAAGAATTAATGAATTACCTGGTGTTTTTAGATTAAATGTGCACGTGTATTTTCAAAGGTGACATGTGTTTTTGTGTAAATATCAAATTAATCATCAGTTTTTGTTTATATTTAAATTGACCTTGTCTTCAATCCATGTGAACATTTCCAATGTACATGTATATATATTAACCGTGTTCCTCAGGAAGTTTAAATCACGATTCGTATTAAACAGTTTATATGTTTTTTTCAATATAGAAATAAAAAATACAGTGTGATAATATAGCTTCTTGTTCCGGTGTGTTTCATGTCCAGACACGTGATGACTACTGTGATAAAATGTCGTCCTCCGCCAGTGATCACGTGACAAATTTGATTGAACAAAGCATAAACCATCCCTGGAAAGACTTATTCAAGGCGGGAACGATCCCTCATCTTGCTCCAAGAATGGTGTCTGGGAAATTGGAAGGTAAAGAGCTTATTATTCCAATGTAAACGATACTGAATTTCTTTGGTGTTTTGTGTGTCAGACCTTGAACAACATCATGATCTTAAGAGTAGTCAGTTAGTAGCATAACTGCAGAAAAACTGTAGAACTGGAGAGCATAAAGATTCCAATGGTTGCAATTGGCGTATAAGAACAATTGTATGATACAACTTTCTCTAATCAGAGGACAGAGACTTGTGTAATTTTGCTGGGACTCGGTGTAGAATTACTCCCATATTGGAACAAATAATTGTGCTTGCTTGTCCTATACGTAATAAGTATAAAATATCTGCCGACATCATTGCAATCGTTTAAGTAGCCCACGAGTCATGATAGTATGCTCAGGACAATAGACAATAAACGTCATATCCTTAGGACTCGTTCGAGAAGTTCGAGAAAAGACTACTAATGCGGTTTCCTGACGTTATTTTGGGTTCTGTCCGGTGTCTGCTTACCGGGGGATATTCAAAATTCCAACATTGATCTGTTACCCAGATTGCAATACTTTGGATCTGTCTTCTCCTTCTCCTCTACTCCTAGTTGGCGGTGTCTCCATAGGCACCTGTCGTGATTTGATGTAGCTGATACGAGAATCTGAAACTCCAAATAAGCAAATGTTCTAAAGAACTGAGATGTCACACGCATACAGCAAATTAAACAGAGATATGTTCGTAATATTACTTTTTGAATCGGAAAGGTATTAGTTTTTTAAATGTATTTGAAAGGGATATAGATTGAAAAACATATTTGATTAGTTAAATATTCCATTTTTAGCAGAGCTTTTCAAATATTCTAACAAAGATGGGATCTCAACCACGTCTTACCTGTCGTGCATGCGCACATACATGTAGATCGTTTTTATTTTCTATATGAAAACTTGAAGCGTTTAGCCGAAAGGGACAATGAGCATTATACGTGGTCTTGTCGAGATGTAATAAACTCTATCTTTTATTCAAGTTTGATGATAACTCTCTTATTCATATATATAGGAAATTTTCTTAAGACCCTCGTCAGTATGAACAACGCCAAAAAGGTGTTAGAAGTTGGATTATTCACCGGATGTGGTGCACTGACAATGGCGGAAGCACTTCCAGCTGACGGCAGTGTAACAACGTGTGAAATTGTTCCATATGTACAGAACCTTGCGCGAGAATACATGGACAAGTCTCCTCACGGAAAGAAAGTTACAATAAAGGGAGGTAAGCAAATATTTATTTAAGATCAACACTGGACCACCATTTCTATAGAATCATTAACTTTTACAAACGCTTCCCTATTGCATTAATTTCTCTAGATATATCTAGGATTTTTTCTTTTGAGAGAGAGGAGGTCACCTCGTCAAATCTCTCGAAAAACGTATTACTTTTTTTTTTTTTTTTGCCGTTTGGTGTCGTATGTTCGACTCGTCCGCTGAGCATCATCCTCCATGCAATTTCTGTTGAATTATCAACTTCTTCTTTATCAACTAAAGGCTTAGGCTCATGACAAAGGGATGGAAACTACCTGATTTAGAAGGCCATCAAATGTGTTCAAACAAATTAGTCTGAATATCATCTAAGATAAAATAAAATAAAAAGGTTAAAATTGAAATGAATGACTTCTTCCCACGAACAAGTATGCCACGGGTCATGATATAAAGCTTGTTTGTATGATCGAATGTTGTCGGATCATTCAAGATGACAGGCGTAAGAATTGTTAAAACCTCCAACGACTTTATAAAACCTCGAGGCTTAAATATCTATATTCTATAAGTAGTCTTGTTGAATTTTTTAATTAACGCTCATAGGCCTCCTTACTCTTCCCAATGTCCGTACTAATATGTTGTCTACAAGTACATTATTCAGACCGACAATAGCAAAATTCTTTTGTTAAAAGTTGTATGACGGAATTGCTTGGGGTAAGTCGATAAAATAGCTTCACACGAGGGCTACTTGGAGATAAAAAAAACTAACACTGCTATTATAATTACAAAATCATCACTATATTTGGGAAATTAATTGCTCAAAATGCCGAAACAGAAATATTCACTTTAAAATGGAAACATTGTCAAACGCCCTTTGCTTGGTTAGTCATAATTTGTTGTAATGCTTTTGAATTGAAGTTAACTACATGTATCACTTTGTAGGACCGGCTTTGGCGTCACTGGAAGAAATGGCTGAAGCTGGAGAGAAGTTCGACATCATTTTCATTGATGCCGATAAATGCAACTATCTCAACTACTACAAAGTAATTATATTAATACATGTATATGTATGATACAATTTACAATTATATCGTATTGATGAAGTAGGTATAAGACTTGTTTTTGGAATATTTTAAGAGTAACAATATGGTATATGTAACATGTAAAATTTATTTTATCAGAAAACTAACAAACGGGGCCCTTTTTATACAAAAAAAATGTAATTTACATTGTTATTTGACCCAATTTATTTCCAACTCATTGATTAATATTTCAGGAGTTTTCAATCATGTCTGATTATACCCTCCACTGGCCACTTTCTAATTATGACGTCATGTAACAATCCCTTGCTGTAAAAAATATAAGGTGTTTCACTGTAAATAAAAACTAGGTCAAAAGCTAAAGCTAGATACAAACATGAATGGAGAGGCAAAAGTCCCCGAAACTCAGGATGACTGGTTTTCATGTTTTTTCTATATCTCTAAGTTAAACCTCGTGTGTTTATACAATTTGAAATGTAGCTATTTTAAATTAAATAGGCATAATGACCAACCATCACCCATTTATATATGTTCAATTGGTTAACAAAGAAATTCGCCCATCAATCGCAGAATAGCGGTTTCATAAATCAGGTGAATTCGTCGATCACCGTTTGTATCTTAATAAAGAAATAAATTGTTATTCCTTTCATCTTTTCACCCAATAATAATTCCTTTCATTTAACTATGAAATGGCCCCTTTTGTTTTATCCACCTTACCCAACACACACCAAACAATTCCGTCACTACTTTGAATCATTAAACACCGCTAGTTATTATTAGTTTTACCAGAGCTTAACCAAAGCAGAAACGTTATAAAACATAATACATATATGTATCTATCCCATCTACAGTTAATCATGGACAGAGACATGTTGACAGTCCGAGGGACGATCATTGTAGACAACAGCCTGTTCATGGGCTTAATTTTCTGTAAGGATCACCCATCAGCAGAGATGATCCAGAATGGCCTGGACATTCACGAGTTCAACGAATTTGTGGCACAGGACGAACGTGTGTACAAAGTAAGAATGTTTTGTATGATCCGGTACCATTGGGCGGCTTTTGGTTGTAATGTGTTTTATGTGTTTATGTGTACAACCAACACATTCGTCAGAAATTCATTAGAAAGTAGACCAACGAATGACGCAGCCATTGTGTCAACCTATTTCACATGTTCCACATCGTAATCGTATTGTAGCATTACGTTAATGATAGACAAACAGTTTACCGCTAACAAAATCGCCTATTTTTCGACGACAGCCTTTCTTTTCAGGGAAGTTTTAAAGTAAGCATTGAACAACGTATTTTAAAGGCCGGGAGTGCAACACCGCTATCGTCTGACGTATGCCTGTGAATAGAGATAAATATAAATGCACGAAAAGAATAAAATTGTACATTGGTAACATACAAAGACAAATTGAAACAACTCAAAGTGTCTTGTGTTACAAAAAGAATTCTCGATATGATTTCCACATGGAAAACAAGAAAGCAACTCCTGCTATTTTAGAACGGCCAGCGTCTTTTTGAAAATATGTGACTGCAAAGGAAACAGAAGCTTACTTTCAATCCCGGTCTTATTCTCGAATTTAGATAATATAATCGGTTTTTTTTTAAAATAGCACAGAATACTATTTCTCTGCACGACAATGTGACGAGTTCCATGTTTCTAGCTATTTCTTGTAATATTTGGTAACAGCACTTTGCTAAGTCATTGACAATGACTAGTCAGACTTGTTCACAATTTTCTAGTTACGCGCATTTATACATGAACTCCTGACCCGATACTGGTCGTGCGAACACGTTTACAACTATTTATATAATTAATACCATAAGTATGAAGTCTAATATCTGATGTTTTGTTGTATTATAAGGTGGTGGTGCCAATACGAGACGGAGTGACGATGATACGGCGACGCTCAGACGTGGAGGGATCTGTCTAAGATGTTTGAATTATTCCAAAGTGATGGATTTTGTCTTATTCAATCGACCGATTCCGCTAACCGATTTGAACGACTGATTTAAACTATTAAATCTCGATCTTATTTAAAAGAGGCTGGTTTCGCTATGCTATAACTAGATAAGACCATTGAATGAACTCAACACCACGACTAATATGGTATAACTAGATAAGACCATAGAATGAACTCAACACCACCACTAATAGAGCATAACTAGATAAGACCATAGAATGAACTCAACACCACGACTAATAGGGTATAACTAGATAAGACCATTGAATGAACTCAACACCACGACTAATATGGCATAAGTAGATAAGACCATTGAATGAACTCAGCACTACGACTACAATTGTATAACTGGATAAGACCATGGAATGAACTCAACACCACGACTAATATGGTATAACTAAATAAGACTATGGAATGAACTCAACACAACGACTAATATGGTATAACTAGATAAGACCATAGAATGAACTCAACACCACGACTAATATGGTATAACTAAATAAGACTATGGAATGAACTCAACACAACGACTAATATGGTATAACTAGATAAGACCATGGAATGAACTCAACACAACGACTAATAGAGTATAACTAGATAATACCATGGAATGAACTCAACACCACGACTAATATGGAATAACTAGATAAGACCATAGAATGAACTCAACACCACGACTAATATGGAATAACTAGATAAGACCATAGAATGAACTCAACACAACGACTAATAGGGTATAACTAAATAAGACCATGGAATGAACTCAACACCACGACTAAAATGGTATAACTAGATAAGACCATAGAATGAACTCACCACCACGACTAATATGGTATAACTAAATAAGACTATGGAATGAACTCAACACAACGACTAATATGGTATAACTAGATAAGACCATGGAATAAACTCAACACCACGACTAATATGGTATAACTAGATAAGATCATAGAATGAACTCAACACCACGACTAATATGGAATAACTAGATAAGACCATAGAATGAACTCAACACCACGACTACTATGGTATAACTAAATAAGACTATGGAATGAACTCAACACAACGACTAATATGGTATAACTAGATAAGACCATGGAATAAACTCAACACCACGACTAATATGGTATAACTAGATAAGACCATGGAATAAACTCAACACCACGACTAATATGGTATAACTAGATAAGATCATAGAATGAACTCAACACCACGACTAATATGGTATAACTAGATAAGACCATGGAATGAACTCAACCCCAAGACTAAAATGGTATAACTAGATAAGACCATAGAATGAACTCAACACCGCCACTAATAGGGTTTAACTAGATAAGACCATAGAATGAACCCAACACAACGACTAATAGAGTATAACTAGATAAGACCATGGAATGAACTCAACCCCAAGACTAAAATGGTATAACTAGATAAGACCATAGAATGAACTCAACACAACGAATAATAGGGAATAACTAGATAAGACCATGGAATGAACTCAACACCACGCCTAATATGGTATAACTAGATAAGACCATGGAATGAACTCAACCCCAAGACTAAAATGGTATAACTAGATAAGACCATAGAATGAACTCAACACCGCCACTAATAGGGTTTAACTAGATAAGACCATAGAATGAACTCAACACCACCACTAATAGGGTTTAACTAGATAAGACCATAGAATGAACTCAACACAACGACTAATAGAGTATAACTAGATAAGACCATGGAATGAACTCAACACCACGACTAATAGGGTATAACTAGATAAGACCATAGAATGAACTCAACACAACGACTAATAGAGTATAACTAGATAAGACCATGGAATAAACTCAACACCACGACTAATATGGTATAACTAGATATGACCTTAGATTGAACTCTACACCACGACTAATATGGTATAACTAGATATGACCATAGATTGAACTCAACACCACGACTAATATGGTATAACTAGAAATGACCTTAGATTGAACTCAACACCACGATTAATATGGTATAACTAGATAAGACCATGGCATGAACTCAACACAACGACTAATATGGTATAACTAGATAATACCATGGAATGAACTCAACACCACGACTAATAGGGTATAACTAGATAAGACCATGGAATGAACTCAACCCAACGACTAATATGGTATAACTAGATAAGCCCATAGAACGAACTCAACACCACCACTAATAGGGTATAACTAGATAAGACCATGGAATGAAGGCAACACCACCACTTATAGGGTATAACTAGATAAGACCATAGAACGAACACAACACCACCACTAATAGGGTATAACTAGATAAGACCATAGAACGATCTCAACACCACGACTAATATGGTATAACTAGAAATGACCTTAGATTGAACTCAACACCACGACTAATATGCTTTAACTAGATAAGACCATGGAATGAACTCAACACAACGACTAATATGGTATAACTAGATAATACCATGGAATGAACTCAACACCACGACTAATATGGGATAACTAGATATGACCTTAGATTGAACTCAACACCACGATTAATATGGTATAACTAGATATGACCTTAGATTGAACTCTACACCACGACTAATATGGTATAACTAGATATGACCTTAGATTGAACTCAACACCACGACTAATATGCTTTAACTAGATAAGACCATGGAATGAACTCAACCCAACGACTAATATGGTATAACTAGATAAGCCCATAGAACGAACTCAACACCACCACTAATAGGATATAACTAGATATGACCTTAGATTGAACTCTACACCACGACTAATATGGTATAACTAGATAAGACCATTTAATGAACTCAACACAACGACTAATATGGTATAACTAGATAATACCATGGAATGAACTCAACACCACGACTAATATGGTATAACTAGATATGACCATAGATTGAACTCAACACCACGACTAATATGGTATAACTAGATAAGACCATGGAATGAACGCAACACCACCACTTATAGGGTATAACTAGATAAGACCATAGAACGAACTCAACACCACCACTAATAGGGTATAACTAGATATGACCTTAGATTGAACTCAACACCACGACTAATATGGTATAACTAGATAAGACCATGGAATGAACTCAACACAACGTCTTATGTGCGACTTTTGATAACTCCGAACTATTCTGAGACGAAAAAGAAACATTTAGATTATTTTTATTTGGTTTGTATAACTGTAGCATTGCCAGTGGTGTTAAGGACCCCCAAAATAATAAAACTGACTGGCAAGTGGAAAATTCAAATAAATGAAAATTGAGAAAAGCGTAATTTTTTGGAATTCATTGAAATACACTGTACATAAAAATCATTTCTTACTGATAAGCTGTTGAATTCTTTTTTACAGTTATCCTGTACTTAAATGAGCATTTTACAATTGTATTGAGTTCTGAATTTGAATATTTAATGAATAATATGATTTCCATAGCAACCAACTGGTTCCTTGGCAATCAACTAGTCCCTTGCAGGGTTGTAAAAATCCACTTGCCGACGCCAGGGACAACAAGTGCAAAAACATGGCAAGTGCGTTAAAATAGTATATAAACATGTTTTTGCACACGTGTTTCTCCCTTTCCCCAAATAAATACATTTTTGTAATTAACTTTTAAAACTGGCTGTATTTTAGTGGAAAACATTCCAGCAATTATGAAACAACGAAAATTCACGTAAAACAACTTTGTTCTTCGTATTGGGGGAAAATTGCCGGTAGAATACTGGCGGTCTATCCAACAGTTCAGGCAATTTCTTTAGGTAGACGTCAAGGCCGATACTTTAAAAATAACTGAAACTCCAGCTTAAACATCAAATATGAATAAATAGAGATTTTACTTACTTATTGAATGATTATGTGTACTAGTTAACTACAGAAGAATATCGTTTTTGCCTCAAAAACGTCTCTGCTTTTCTACAGGAAGTTACATCGGCGTGACTAAAAACCGGACAAATCCGGACCCGGATTTCAGGATTTAAAGAATTCCAAAAGTAAATAATTTTAAATGAAAAAAAAAAGATGTACATCCATCACTGCTGGTAGAACCATGTTATCATCACTCTCTCTCTCTCTCTGAAATATAAAATACATTTATGTAAGCCCGCATTCAAAATATTTCTGTTTAATTATTACATATTTATGAATGTAAGTATGAATGATTGACTGGTAGAATATATCATTGATTCAGAAATAGAATGGATATTTTACTTGTGCAAAATGTGTGATTATATGGTTGTAGCTTTTATTGAATACACATTTTAAATTCTAGAATGGACAAATTTCAGAAAAAGGTTTTGTAAATGCATGTTGTATACATACTTTGACTGAATTTTTGAAGTCCTCCTAGTTGCAGACATTAATTTCCAATAAACATGACATTATTTCACTCGTTGTACGCAGCTTCATGTATTGAAGGAAATTGAATTTGACATATTGATTCATTTTGCTCTTACTCTTTGCTAATTGTAGGAGGGGATGGTACTCTCAATTATTCATAATTGTCCTGGTTTATCGTTGGAATTTGGAAATTTTTGACACCCTCAAATTTCATTTCAATTTTTCTCTGACTCTCTAACAATTAACATATTATCCTTTCGTGACCAAGATTACTGGAACCTTTGTTGTCATTCGTGCTTATTAAAATTCTTTTCTTCTTTAGCATTTGTGTAATATTTTTTCTCGGTAGACAGTGTTACGCTCTTTTACAATGAAAATTCAAGAAGCACATACAGTTACATTGTACAGTTGTGTGACCGCACAACGCACCAAAAAACACCGTGCGCATACCGTGCATACATCGTTCACACACCGTTCGCTCATCGTCCACACATGGTGCGCACAACTGTGCGATTTAACAATCGTTCGCCCCGTTGTGCGCTTCTCTCGCACAACTGTGCGATTTGGTACAATTTGTTGATCAATATTACGGAATGAAAAAAATACGGAAG